TAACCCATCCCAACCCATCCCGATTCATTCCATCTCATCCCAATGCTCTAATTCCAACCCAACCCATCCCAAAATATCCTTTCCTATCCTATCCCAATCCAATCCATCTCACCCCAGTGCATCCCAACCCAACCCAACCCAACCCAACTTAACCTATCCCATCCATCTCATCCCAACCCAACCCAACCCAACTCTGGATGGATTCTCCAATGGGACACGTCCATAGCCAAGAGTCATCAATCATTCTCTCCAGTAATGTTCTTGTGCGCTAAGAGCTTTGGGCTGCCAAGGTGATTATCTAAGTCATTTAAGGAAGGCGCTGCTTTCCCCCCTGACTACCTTTCTGCCGGCAACTGAAAAGACCAAAGGAATGTGTGTGTGTGTGTGTGTGTGTGTGTGTGTGTGTGTGTAGAGCTGACACCGTCTTTGCCTTGCAGGCAGTATTACGAGATGCTCTACAACACGGCGGACGAGCTGCTGAACCTGGTGGTGGACCAAGGCGTGAAGTACACGGAGCTGGAGTACATCCACGCCCTGAGCTTACTCCACCGCAGCCAGACCGGCGTGGGAGACCAGACCACGCAAAACATGAGGTTGCAACGCCTCAAGGAGATCATCTGCGAGCAGGCCGCCATCAAGCAAGCCACCAAGGACAAGAAAATCACCACCGTGTAGTTTTAGTCTTGCTTAGCAGCAGCCCTATTCCTTTTCCCCCACAACCTGTAGAAGCAACGAAGGGAAAAAGTCTCTATATGGGGGTAACCTTTTGGCCTTTTCCGCTTAGCTTCTTCTCGGGGGGGGGGGGGTTTGGGGGACGGCGAGCTGGAGATCTTCCCCGTGGCTTGCTGGGATCTTAAATCCATGGCACGTCAATGGGGATTGGTTGCAGTTTATAGGGAGTTGATCCTCTTGAACTATAAGGGGCAGATCGGGGGAGGGAGGGGAGGGTTGTCTTGGTGGTCCAGAAGGATCCTGATTGGAGGAGAGCTGAGGAGCCCTTTCTAACCCAAGGTGCAGCTCTCCGAAAGGGGAACGGAGCTGGTTCCATGGCGACCGATTGGCTTTCTGGCTGGCTCAGTGCTGCTCCAGCTACAGGGATGCTAAGGGTATTAAGCATTGGGCCATATTATTAAGGGGCGTTCTTTGCAGAATTTCATTTACTTTTCAGTATTTAATCACAATTATTTTCACGCAGGACTGTGCTTCATTTAATCACTCGATGGTGTTGAGGATGTGTATGTATATATATATGTGTGTGTGTGTGTGTGTGTATGTATATATGTGTGTGTGTGTATCTTTGGTTATTCGGGTTTTCTCCCGCGTAAGATTGGAAGTACTTCCAATCTTACGTGGGAGAAAACCCGAATAACCAAAGATCCACATACTAATACCCGCGAGAACCTCAAAAAACAGACACATACATACATACATATATATATATATGTATGTATGTAGGTATGTATTTATAATTTTCTTAAGTTTTCGCAGGTACTTACATGTATGGTATTCAGCTTTGTTCGGGTATTTTCCCACATCGTTATAGTTGTGCTTTTAGAGTTGTAGCAACGTTTCAGCAGAATCTCATCTGCCATCATCAGGCTTCTGTATTGGGTTCGTCTGTGAGTCAGACTTTTACAGTTGTTTGTCTGACTCACAGACGAACAGTCTGACTCACAGACGAACACAATACAGAAGCCTGATGATGGCAGATGAGATTCTGCCGAAACGCTGCTACAACTTTAAAAGCACAACTACAATGACGTGGGAAAATACCCGAACAAAGCTGAATGCCACATATATAACACATATATAACAACCAAAGATCCACATACAAATACCCGCGAGAACCTCAGAAAACAAATATATATATATATATATGTGTATGTGTGTGTGTGTGTGTGTGTGTGTGTGTGTGTGTGTGTGTGTGTTTTCTTAAGTTTTTGTAGGTATTTATATGTATGGTATTCAGCTTTGGGAAAATACCCAAACAAAGCTGAATACCATACATACATACATACATACATACATACATACATACATACATTATATATATATATGGGTCTTTATGGCTAACTTTAGCTCATCATTAGAGAACTCAGTAGCATTATTTTATTCTGTTTTGCACCAATTTCAAGAGGCTGGGTTGGCTGGCACTCTGCACAACTTCCCGTTGGCTTGGTCTCGGGAACACCGCGGGAAGGATTGGCAGTGGGGCCAGCCGAAGTCGAGATACCAGCATGGCAGATGCCAGATCACCCTGACAAGACCTATCCGAAACCACGATGTGACCAGTGACATTTGATGGAAGGAATGTAGAGGGGTGTCGGGGAGGAATTTCCCAGGCGTTCGCTTTCGCAGGGATCCTATCACGGCTATGTTCAGATCTGATCATGTTCCCTTCCGCCTACTGGCGAGGGGGAAAAATTGGGATCGACCCAAGGGTGGGCTTCAAAAAATTTAGCAATCATTTCTCTGCTGGGTTGTTGGGTGGGTGTGGCCATGGGTGGGCATGGCCTAGTCAATGTCCTGCACCACAGCCATCCAAAACGGCATCCAAAACCGGCCACGTAGAGACACCTGGGAGGTGGTGGGCAGGGCCAGCCAGGGATTTGCTGGTTCACCGAACTGGCCATAAAATTAAATACCGGTTCACTCAAACCGGTAGAAGCCCAGGCCTGGATTAACGAAGACCCTGATTTTGAGAATTTGGTGGTGGGGGGGGGGGGTTGTTTTATTATAAATATTTTCAAAGGATGTGAAGGGAGCAGCAGTTTTGATTGCAGTCCACGGGTTACGTCTCCCTCCAGGGTGCAAAGCAAAAAAGCCACTTTCTCTGATCTGATCTGGTCCCGGGTCTTCCATCCTTCTTCTGCTTACGTTGCTTTTCCCTCTGGGTTGAACTGGAAAATTAAACGGTAACTTGGAAACTCCTCGTGATCGCATTGTGGGCTCTCCTTCGATGCACCGACGGTCTCTTCGGATGCTTCGCGGCGGTCCTCGACTTACGACTACAAGTGAGCCCCAAATTTCTGTTGCTAAGTCAAGACATTTGTTAAACGTGTTTTGCCCCCATTCTGCGACTTGTCTTGCCGCTGTTGTCAGGTGAATCATTGCAGTTTAATCACCCAACTAGGTAACATCATCCGTGCTAGAAGAGAGAAGGAGGAGGAGGAAATGGACTGTAGGGTCCTTGGTGCCCTCTGAGCTTGGTGGTTTTCTTGCAGACATTTCATGATCCAACTAGATCGCCTGTTTTCTTGAAAATATAACCTACCCCGAAAGTAAGTCCTAGCTTGGTTTTTACTTGTACACCCAAAATAAGCCCTATTTAAGATCCCGCCCATTCCAGAGTGCATGGGTAAAAATTAAGCTACGGTGGTGCTGGGGTGTGTGGAGATGCCCTACTACTTACCTTTGGACAGGTGTAGTCAGGCCTCGCACACCCCGACACCAGCCTTGCCGGCCCATTTCTTCTGCAGCCAGCAAGTCTTTCCTGAAGGCCTCTGGAGCTGAGAACAAAGCTCTGGATCGATCCTGAAGGCTGCAGAGGCCTTCAGAAAAGCCTTGCCAGCTGCAGAAGAAGAAGTTTCTGAAGGCCTCTGAGAGCGAAAAGGAAGCCAGGGGCGATGCACGCGAGTGAGGTTAGTCAGTGGATGACCTGCTCCGAAAATAAGACCTAGTGCCTTTTTTGGTGACAAAAAATATATAAGACAAGGTCTTATTTTGGGGGAAACACAGTAACATCTGCAGTGCTAGAAGGGATAGGGTATGCAGAGAGGGGGAGGAGGAGGAGGAGGAGGAGGAAGAATTTTCCATAGCCTTATTTGCACCAGAAAAAGGAAGATATTTGGAGCTCAGGTTGAAATGAGGAGTCTTGATGCTCTCTGAGCTTGGTGGTTTTCTTGCAGACGTTTCACTACCCAACTTGGTAACATCATCAGTGCTAGGAGGGAGTGGGGTTTGCTCTCCATTTATATACAACCTCTTCTAGCAGGGGTGATGTTACCTAGCTTGAGTAACAAAGCGTCTGCAAGAAAATCATCAAGCTCAAGAGACCACCGAGAACCCCTTGAATTGCACCCTCATAAAGTCAGCTCCATCTTCAGACAGAGGCACCCGAGGGCAGTGGTTTTTTACTCTGTCGCAGCTGAGCAGATGGAATAGGAGCCAGCCGTGTGCAGCAGCAGCCAAAAAAACCAATGCAATCCTAAATTGCATTAATGGAGGGATACAATCAAGATTAAGGGAGGTACTAATACCACTCTATAAAGCCTTAGTAAAACCACACCTAGAGTCCTGCGTCCAGTTTTGGTCACCACACTATAAAAAAGATGTTGATACTCTAGAAAAAGTACAGAGAAGAGCAGCCAGGATGATTAGGGGACTGGAGGCTAAAACATACGATGAAAGGTTGCACGAACTGGGCATGGCTAGTCTAGGGAAGAGAAGGACCAGGGGAGACAGGAGAGCATTTTCCAATATTTGAGGGGCTGCCACAGAGAGAAGGAGGGGATCAAGCTATTCTCCAAAGCACCTGAAGGCCAGAGAAGGAATAATGGATTGAAACTGAACAAGGAGAGATTCAACCTGGAAATAAGGAGAAACTTTCTGACAGGGAGAACAATCAACCCATGGAACAGAAGTTGCCTTCAGAAGTTGTGGGAGCGCCATCACTTGAGACCTTCAAGAAGAGACTGGACTGCCATCTGTCAGAAATGGTGTAAGCTCTCCCGCATGGGTGGGGGGTTGGACTAGATGACCTATAAGGTCCCTTCCACTTCCTTTCCATTATCTGATTATCTGTCTGTTATTAACGCTCTCCCCCCACCCCACCCCTCACTCCTAAAGTTTTTAATAACCTCTTCTCTTGGCTGAACCTTTGCAAATCCCAGCAGAAAAGGGGCTGGGTGTTTTCCAGGTGGTGGAAAATAAACACTGGAGCACTTCAGGGTGGAGAATTCATTAACCCGAGCTGACAGGCTGCCAGCTTTCTCCAAAATCCAAGGAAGCTCCTCGGGAGACCAACTTCTCCCTTACAAAATGTCCACTAGGGCAGCAGCTCAAGTCTTTCACAGATGTTTCGCCAGCCTAGCTGTTAATTTGATTAGGGCTGGCCTTTTCCAGGCACAGAAGTCAGCATGTCCAAATGGAAACCTCAGCAGGATATTTCTTAAATGGACCATTCAAGAAAGACCCTTCCTCCGCGTTTCCTTCCACAGCCAAGCCAGGGCCTTGAGCTGAAGAGCAATGGAAACCAAATAAATTTGATTTTTTGGAAGAACGTTGCAAGACAGCTATGCAGCTCTGGAGTAGCAAATAACTCCCCAAGTGTCCTGATTGTTTTTTTTAAAAAGAATCATCATTTAATAAACATTGTTAGAAGGAAAGATGCTTGTTTAGTATATTGGGTTTTTTTTTAAAGAAAATATTGAATAAACATTAAAAACAATTGAACACAGTGCAACTTCCTTCGCCATCATTGTGGCCATACAAGCTGCATTACAGAGAGAGACGTAACAGTTAATTTCTTTTTCCCCTTATGTTATTAGTATAGTGCTAGCTGCATATTATTTCTATTTAAATTTATCTACAATTATATACACATTTACAACCATCTTTTATACTCATGCATTCGTATCATCCCATATTTGTCCATTATATTCCATTCTCTTTGGCTTACAAAACTTTAACGTTCTTCCTGTAAAGCGTCAACCCTTTCTTTCTTTTTCCTTGACTCTAGCCACTGATACATTTTGCTCCAGACTTCATAATACTCTGTCTCACCCTTATCTTTGATTTCTAAAGTTAGTCTGTCCATCTCTGCACAGACTAATATTTTCCTTATTGTTTATTTCACTTTCTGAAGGGGTTATCTTCATTCTTCCAGTTTTGGGCGTACACCAATCTTGCAGCTGTTGTTATATGTATCATTAAATATATTGTTCCTTTATTGTATTTCTGATTAATAATTCCCAGTAAGACCATTTCTGGTCTGAACTCTAGTTTCTGGTTAACCATCTCTTCTATCCAAACCATTATTTTACACCAGTATTTTATTTTATTTTTTTGCTTTTATACATTTCCACCACACATGATAATAGGTCCCTATTTCCATGTTACATTTCCAACTTCAGCACACCCTACGCCAAAGCAGCACTGGACATATTTCAAATCTGTTGCTTCCAGGAATCTAACCCATTGCTTGAACTTTCATAATATTGAAGCTGTTACCTAGCTGGGTCGGGAAAGCGATGAAGCTCAGAGCACAGCAAGGATTCTATAGTTCAACCCTGAGCTATGAATTTTTTGAAATATGGTGCTTTTGTACCAGTCCTATACAGGTAAATCCTCAACTTATGACCACGATTTAGCCCGAAATTTCCATTGGAAGGTGAGACATTTGTTAACACGAGTTTTGTCCCATTTTATGAATATTCTTGCCACGTTTTGTTTAAGTGGATCACTACAGTTGTTGTTAGTGACCTGGTTGTTAAGCGAATCTGGCTTCACCCTTTGACTTAGGTTATCAGGAGGTCATAAGGGGGGATCATGTGACCATGGGATGCCGCAACGGTCATAAATACATGCCAGGGGATCAAAACCCCTTCCTTGCTTTGGCCCCAGCAATGGCCTCAGGTGAGAAAGAAACTCAAGACTGGCCCTCAATGTTCGGTGGTATAAGAGGCCGGAAGGGAAAACTTGTTCCAGCTTCCCCCAAATTTGCTGCAGATAGTCCTCAACTTACAACCATAAAGGAACCCCAAATTTCCATTACTAAGCAAGACAACTGTTGAGTGAAGTCACTCCATCACATGAGACTTTCAAGAAGAGACTGGACTGCCTTTTGTCTGAAATGGTGTAGGGTCTCCTGCTTGGGCAGGGGGGTTGGACTAGATGACCTACAACTAACTAATAACTAGATCATACAAAATATTTGCTAGACCAATACTCGAATACAGCTCATCAGTCTGGAACCCACATTACGGATCTGATATTAGTTGAGAAAGTCCAGAAATATTTCACAAGAAGAGTTCTCCACCCCTCTACTCGTTGCAGAAGACCTTATGCCACCAGACTTGAAATTCTAGACCTAGAAAACCAAGAACTACGCCGACTTCAGTCTGATCTAAATATAGTATATAAAATCATACATTGCAATGTCCTACCTGTCAATGAATACTTCAGCTTCAACCATAACGACACAAGAGCACACAATAGATACAAACTCAAGGTAAACCGCATCAAACTTGATGGCAGGAAATACGACTTCAGCAACAGAGTGGTCAATGTCTGGAATACTCTACCTGACTCTGTGGTTTCTTCCCCAAACCCCAAAAACTTTAACCTTAGACTGTCTACTATTGACCTCACCCCTTTCCTAAGAGGTCTGTGCATAAGCGCACCAATGTGCCTACCGTCCCTGTCCTATTGATTCTTTTATATATTTTTTTATTTTTCTTATATGTATCCATGTATTCATACCTATTATGGTTGCCAAGGGTCCAAAGTTTGATCACGTGACCATGGAGTGGGTGGGTGCAACGGTCATTAAGTGTGAACGACAGTCACAAGTCCCTTGATTTCAGTGCCCTAACTTTGGCCACAAAACGGAACAGTTGCAAGCCAGGGAGTATCTCAATTACAGCCTGAATCCATACCATGCTAAGGCAGGGTGTCACTTTCCTTGATGTGGCCTACCTCGAAGGGCTGGCAACACAGAGGTGGGTGGGTAGGCAGGGCAGGGAAATCGGGGTGCCCAGAGATCATCCATCAGGACCCTCTCTGCTCCAGTTAATGGCTCATATTAAGCATTTTTCAACCTGAGGCACTTTAAGAGGGGTGGACTTCAACTCCCAGAATTCCCCAGCCATCAACTCTGGCTGGGGAATTTTGGGAGTTGAAGTCCACCCTCTTAGATGGGGGGGGGGTGAAAGAAAGAAAGAAAAAAGAACCACTCCTAAATATAGAAGGCCAAAGCCTCCCAGAAGCTACCGCGGCACATAAAAATCTAACACCCTCGAAGCCAGCCCGAACTACGTTTCCCATCACGCCCCGCGCGGCGTCGATGACGCACGTCGGCAGCGCTCGCCCCGCCTTTTTTTCCGCCCCTTGGCGTCGCCGTGGCAACGGCCCGCCAACAAGATGGCGGCGCTCCGCCCCTGAGAGGCGAAGCCGGCGCGGTTGTTTTTGTTTGTTTATTTCCCTCCCCCACGAAAAGATGCCGCGGTCTCCGTCACCCCGGTCGCCGTCGACGCTGTCGTCGCAGAGCAACCAGTCATGGCGAGACAGGAGCCAGCCCTCCCTGGAGGACCGCATGGCGCTAACGCGGTCCTGGGTGACGGCGCCTTCCGTCACCTTCTCGCTCCTCCGCGCCGGCGGCCCGGACGAGCGGTCCCCGCGGGGACAGGAGGAGGAAGTCAGCGAGGAGGAGGAAGAGGAGGAGGAGGAGTCCACCGAGTCGGATCTCGAGCCGGAGCTCATGGAGGAGGTGCGGCCGCCGGTGGTGGTGGTGGGGCGCTATTAGGGGATTTACGGGAGGGACTGGTGGGAGGGGGAGAGTTTTGGCTGCGCGAAGGCATTACGGTAACGAGGAGGGGGCTTTCTTATTGGGGCTTTTGGAAGGGCGCCCGTATACGGAGAATTACGGGAATTGAGAAGGGGGCTCTTATTAAGAGATTTCGGGAGGGACTTTTGATGGGCACCCCTATATGAGCCCGGGGAGAGGGGCTTCTGAGGAGACTTAGGGCCAGGAACTTTTGGAAGGGCCCTTCTATATGAGATATTACAGGGATTGGGGAGGGGGCTTCTTTTGGGAGATTTACGGAAGGGTTTTTTTGGAAGGGCGCCTCTATATGAGACATTACGGGGATTGAGGAAGGGGCTCTTTTTTAAGAGATTTCGGGAGGGGCTTTTGGAAAGTTCCCCCTATGTGGGGTATTATGGGAATTGGGCAGGGGGCTCTCATTGGGAGATTTATGGGAGGGGCTTTTGGAAGGGCGCCCCTATACGGGGCATTACGGTAATTGAGGAGGGGGCTCTTGAGACTTGTGGGGGGGAGTTTTGGAAGGGTGCCTCTATATGGGGCATTACAGGAATTGAGATGGGGGCTTTTGAGCAGACTTGTGGGGGAGGGGAGTTTTAGAAGGGTGCCTCTATATGGGGCATTACAGGAATTGAGATGGGGGCTCTTATTAAGAGATTTACGGGAGGGGTGGTTTTTTTGGAAGGGTGCCCCTATTCAGAACATTATGGGAATTGGGGAAGGGGGCTCCTGAGGAGACTTTGTGGAGCAGGGAGGCTTTTGGAAAGAGGCCTCTGTGCAGAGCATTATGGGAATTGAGAAGGGGGTTCTTATTGGGAGATTTACGGGAGGGGCATATGGAAGGGCGCCCCTTTATGGGACATTACGGGAATTGGGGAGGGGACTCCTAAGGAGACTTGGGGAGGAGAGGTTTCTGGAAAGGTGCCTCTATATGGAGAATTATGGGAATTGAGGAGCGGGGCTCTTGAGACTGGGGGGGGGGGGCTTTTGGAAAGGTGCCTCTATGGGGGGAATTACGGGAATTGAGGAGGTAGGAGTTTTTGGAAGGGCGCCCCTACATGGGGCATTATGGGAATTGGGGAGGGGGCTCCTGAGGAGACTGGGAGGGAGGTTTTTGCAAAGGTGGCTCTATGCCAGGGGTCTTCAAACTTGACAGCTTTAACACTTGTGGACTTCAACTCCCAGAGTTCCTCCTCTCAGTCATGTTAGCTCGGGAATTCTGGGAGTTGAAGTCCACAAGTCTTAAACTTGCCAAGTTTGCAGACCCTTGCTCTATTCAGAGCATTACTGGAATTGCGGAGGGAGCTCTTATTGGGAGATTTACGGGAGGGATTTGGGGGGGAAGACTCCTCTAAATGGAGCCAGGTGACTGTGAGATGGGCAGCATATAAATCTAATTATTAATTTATTTAATTATAACAATAACAACAATAAGCAATAATAACAATAGCAACAATAACATAATACTTGGAACAGCTTCCATCCTGCAAGGAATATCTGCAACACCGTCAAACATCCAGATTTGCCTATCCCAGGTCCTTGGTGAGGACTCGATAGGTAGACAAAAAGGCCAAACCCAGGCTGAACATCTGGCTAGCTGTGCAATGAATAATAATAATAATAATAATAATAATAATAATAATAATAATAATAATAATATAGTAATAGTGGTGGAAGAGGAGGAAGGAGGAGGAGGAGGAGGAAGAAGAAGAGGAGGAGGAGGAGGAGGAGGAGGAGGAGGAGGAAGAAGAAGAAACAAAAATCTACTGACAATCCAAACTGCTGACTTTGCAACAACAAAGTTAAAACTGTTTCTCATTTAATATGTGAGTGCAACAAAATCGGCAGACCTATTACAAAGCTACACCTGACCAAGTTGCTAAATTAATCCGCTGGTCATTATGTAAAAAATATGTCTTACCTATCCAAAAAGTCATAGGAACATAAAGTAGAAAAAGTTGTTCAAAATGAGAAGGTGAAGGTCTTGTGGGACTTTCGAATACAGATGGATTGCCATTTGGAACACAGCATACCAGATATCACAGTTGTTAAAAACCGAAATGTACAATTTATTGATAGCGCGGTACCAGGAGATGCCAGAGTCGAAGAAAAAGAACGGGGGGAGATATCACAAAATATCGCAACCTGGCCATCGAAACTATACAGTTAGCGATGAAAGGTGTAAGAATGATTCCCCCATTGTCGTCGGGGAAATTGGCGCCATGTCCAAGAAGTTAACAAAACACATCGAGAAATTGCAGCTTCCAGCAATCACACCAGCAGAACTGCAAAAAACTCCGCTACTCGGAACATCGTACGTCTTAAGGTACCTGGTTGATACCTAGGACGTTGGCAGCATCCTGTATCAACTATTAGCACCGGTCAATGATACTTGTGATGCATTTTTAATTGTTCAGTTGACTGAGTTTCATGTTTAATGAATAAAAGTAATAGTAATAGTAGTAATGGTAATTGTAATCATCATAATCATACACATACACATACACCGAGGGCATGCCTCACCAAGCTACAAGCGCCAAATCTTACTTTTCTATTATTTTTGATCCACCCCACTGTGTCTTCCTCGGTTTCTCTTTGCACATGCGCAGGACGTGTTCGACGGTATGTTGAACGAAGCTACAATTGCAGAAGCCCTGCACACCTTAGGGCGTTCCGCCTCCGGCATGGAGCGTGTCTACCTTCACCTGTCACTTTCGGTGAGTTTAGGAAAACTTTTGTCCCCAGCATTGTCACCTGTCATGCCCCTGTCAGAATTTGATTCAGAGGGGGAGGCCAAATAGCTGACAGGGAGTGAGAGTGTGGCTCCGTTGGCTGTCGAGGAAACTGGAGAAGGGCAAAGTCCGGCTGGGCAAAGCAGGGGAGAGGTAGAGCAAGGGAGAGGGAATTCAGAGGAAGACCCAGGCCCACCCCCTCTTCATCCTAGGGCACTCAGGGAGGGACGGCGAAGGGAGCAACATGGGTTGTATAGCTTACGGGGAGGAAAGGGCCCTGATTCCCTTCATTAGCTGCATCTGGGAACACAGTATTTAAAAAGGGAAGCTGCACACAGCAAATTGTTGGGAGCAAATCGTGAATTATCTGATATTGTCGAGGCTTATCTGTGTTCCTGGCATCTTCCCAACTGAGTGTGTTTTGCTGTGCTTTCAAGTCTGCAATTCCTTCTCCTGCCCTGTCAAGTTAATTACTGCAGCATGGTTTGTTTGGGTTTTTAGTTACAGTTTGTATGTACTTCGTATTTGAACTGAATTTTCTGCAGTCCAAGGGCTGTTCCTGGGAGTGTTTTTCTCCAGCCGAAGATAACCTGGACATTGGGGGCAAAGTTGGAGATAATAAAGGGACTCTTCTTGCTTATTTAACTGTGTTGCCTTTGCGCCATGCTCTGGGTCATCACATCACCTATCCCCTGTTAAAGCAAGGCTATCTTAACAATGCTCTTTTGATCGAGGTTTTCTTCATACATTGGGTATTTAAGTCCACCAATGCCTCTACTCAATCTCTTGCACACCATTATCTTGGAGATAATTTTTGATTATTTCGATCCATGTTTCTCAGTCTAGGTAGCTTTCTGATGAGTGGATTTCAATGCCCAGAATTTCCCAGCCGTTGTTGGCTGGGGAATTTTGATTTATTTGATTTGTCAATCATTTATAAGATAATAGGTATAAGTATAAACATGAGTAAGAATACAGGAAATAGGTACGAATAAATGGGGACAATAGGACAGGGATGGTAGGCACGACGGTGCGCTTATGCATACCCCTTACAGACCTCTTAGGAATGCGTATTCTCTCCCTTCCTTTCTCTCCTCCCTCCATTCTTTTCTCTCCTTCCTTCCTTCCTTCCGCTTCCTGGTTCTCCTTCCTTTCCCCTTCCTTCCTTCCTTCCTCCCTCCCACTCCCTCCCTTTTCTTTCCTTCCTTCTTTCCTTCCTCCTGCTCCCTCCCTTTTTCTCTCCTCCATTCTTTTCTCTCCTTCCTTCCTTCCTTCCTTCCTTCCCCTTTCCTGTTCTCCTTCCTTTCCCCTTCCTTCCTTCATCCCTCCCACTCCCTCCCTCCCTTTTCTTTCCTTCCTTCTTCCCTTCCTTCCCTGTTCTTCCTTCCTTCCCCCTTCCTTCCTTCTTTTATTTTTTATTTGATTTATTTATTTGATTTGTCAATCGCTTACCAGATAATAGGTATAAGTATTAAAAACACGAGTAAGAAGACGGGAAATATGCGCAGCGCAGTAAGGGAGTGGGAGTGTTGCATGCACATGTGCAGGGAGGGGCGGGGCGCATCGCATTGTGGGTGCCGGCATGCGTGCGCTTTCGGCACCCCACAACAAAAACCAGTGCCCTAGAGCACTTAGTTGTTGGCTAGGCACTCCCATTGAGACCCTGATGAAGGAGCCATCTGACCATTCATAGGTCTGTCCCCGGAGGGGAAGGATTTTGAACTCGGTGGGTCTCAGGCAGATGTTCTCCAGGAGAGCTACCAAAAAGACCTTCTTTGATCCCCTCTCTCTCTCTGTCTCTCTCTGTCTCTCTCTGTCTCTCTCTCTCCCTTCTTTATTCCTGCAGGACCGTCTTTTGAGTGACGTCCACGTACTTTCCAAATACGTTCATCTCGAAAAGCTCGATCTTTCCTACAATAAAATCAGTGGTATGTGAGCTCCACGGCTACTCTTGCCCTCGAAAGTGGTCGGCCGTTGTTACAGGTAGTCCTTGACTTACGACTGTTCACTGAGCGACCATTCGAAATTACAACGGCACGGGGGAAAAAAGGGACCGACGACCAGGTTGCACACTTTAGAACCCCTGGCAGCCTCCCCGCAGTCACGGGATCAACAATCAGGCGCTTGGCCGCCGACTCATATTTACGATGGTTGCTTTGTCCCAGGCGGGGTGTGTGTGTGTGTGTGTGTTACACAATCCCCTTTTGTGACCAGCTGTCCAGCAAAGAAAACGGGGGGTGGGGGGAGGAAGCCAGATTCACTTAACAACCAGGCTGCTAACTGTGGCAAGGACGGTTGTTAAACATGGGGCAAAACTCACTTATCAAACACTTTGCTTAGCCGCAGGAATTTCGGGCTCCATTGTAGCCGTAAGTCGAGGACTACCTGGACAGAACAGCTTGGGTATTTCCATGCAGCATTCAAAGGCCAGTGTCATGCCCCTGTTGGAATCTGATTCAGAGGAGGAAGCTGAGCAGCTGACAGGGAGTGGGAGTGTGGTTCCGTTGGCTGTGGGAGAAACTGGGGAAGGGCAAAGTCCAACTGGGCAGAGCAGGGGAGAGGTAGAGCAAGGCAGAGGGAATTCGGAGGAAGACCCAGGCCCACCCCCCTCTTCATCCTAGGGCATGCAGGGAGGAACGGGGAATGGAGCAACGTGGGTTGCCTGGCTTACAGGGAAGGAAAGGGCCCTGATTCCCTTCATTAGCTGCAGCTGGGAACACAGTGTTTAAAAAGGGAAGCTGCGCACAGCAAATCGTTGGGAGCAAATCGTGAATTATCTGGTATTATTGAGGCTTATCTGTGTTCCTGGCATCTTCCCAACTGTATATGTTTTGCTTGCCTTTCAAGTGTGAAATTCCTTATCCTGCCCTATCAAGTTAATTACCGCAGCTTGATTTGTTTGGATTTTTAGTTACAGTCTGTATGTACTTTGTTTTGGACTGAATTTCCTCCACTTAAAGGCTGTTCCTGGGAGCGTTTTTCTCCAGCCAAAGGTAACCTGGACATTGGGGGCAAAGTTGGAGATAATAAAGGGACTCTTCTTGCTTATTTGACTGTATTGCCTTTGTGCCACGCCCCTTTGGGTCATCACAGCCATTCAGATCCAAAACTAGAATTTAAATTAGACCGACCTGAGTCGCACGTATCTCCTTTCATATCCCTCCTCTCATTTTTCTTTTTTAGATCTCTCTTTCATCAGTTACATGCCTTACCTGTTAGAATTGGATGTCTCCCATAATGCACTAACCACCTATTTTGACTTCAGGCCACCCAAGAACCTCCAGGTGAGTTTCAAAACACACCTGTGAATCTGGCTCACCCCCCACCCCGCTGGCAGTTAGCTGGCCAGTCAAACTGCCTTGTTCAGCCCACTTAAATGTCGGAGATGACCAGGCTGAGGCCGAGGGAGGCGTCAAATGCATCATGAGTCACGAGTCCCTTCGCACCCGCAAGAGATTTAAGTCCAGCCCATGAATTCCCTCTACTCTTATCTACCGTCAAATTTCCTTTGGCTGTTAGTAGTTCAGATTCTTGTAGAGAGCTTAAGCGTGCAAATCGATCTTTTTAGGCCCATTTGAACTATCTGGATCTCCTAATTTTCTTGGCGCTTGACCCTAAAATGAAGAAAATGGAATTTTTGATCTGTTTCATAGAGATCGGTTGCATTTATCTTTGCAGCAGTGAGGCTGAGTGTGCTTAAAACCTTTATAGGAATTTGTATCTTTCTTTCGTTCTTTCCTTCCTCCCTTCTTTTCTTCCTTCCTTTCTTTTCTTCCCTCCTTCCTTCCTTCTTTCTTTTCCTTTTTTCCTTCCTTCCCTCTCTCCTTCCTTTCCTCCCCCTCTCTCTTTCTCTCCTTCTTTCTCTCTTTCTCTCTCTCTCTCTCTCTCTCTCTCTCTTTCTTTCTTTCTTTCTTTCCTTCCTTCTTTCTTTCTTTTCCAAATTATCCTGAATTGGATGATGGTGGCTGGGCTGGGGTAGAAGACAGCAATAGAATATTTGTAGCTCAGGGTTGAATAGTGAGGCCTTGGTGCTCTCTGAGCTTGGTGGTTTTCTTGCAGACGTTTCACCACCCAACTAGGTAACATCATCAGTGCTAGGAAGGAGGGAGGAGGAGGAGGAAGCTCTTTGAAGTCCTTGGTGCTCTCCGAGCTTGGTGGTTTTCTTGCAGACCCAATTAAGTAACACCATCAGGGCTAGAGGGGAGCGGGGTTTGCTCTCTGTTTATATATTGATGTTGCTAGAAGTGGTCTTGCTCATTCCTTAATTAGGTTGTTTATTTGATTGGGGTATCCTTAATTGTTGGTTTAATGTTAATCTTGGCGTTAAGCTTATCTCAGTGTTGATTGCTGGCAAGGTTCTGTTTTAGACTTCCTTTTCAGCTTTGTGATAGTCTCTTTCAAATGGTATGTAAACGTTGTTTATCTCAGTGTGCCCATTGATGGCTGTTTTGTCAGAGTGCCAGCTTCCAGGGATTATCTAGGGATTTTGGACTTGGCTCGGTCTAAGATGCTCACAGTTTCCCTGTTGAAACTATGGTTAGGTCTGTGTCCATGTGTTGCACACTTGAGTTTTCCTCATGTCTTCTGACTGCTGGTTGATTAGGACACCTTTATGTATCCTTTTCCATTTTTTTTTTGTTCTCTTTCCAGGTGGCTAATTTTTCCTACAATGATATTCCTGAAATGAAAGACCTTTCCGATTATCAGTCCCTCAAAACGCTCATACTGGACAGTATCCTTTTTTAAAAAAATAAATTAAATTAAATTAAAATGATGCATTTAGAACAGGGCAGGACCTCCTTTGGATCCCAGTAGCTTCCCTGTCCAAGCTGCCTTTTCAAAAAAGATATTTTTTTAATTAAAAATAAATAAATGAATGAACAGGAAGGTTCAAGCTGTATTACAAAGGCAACCGTTCTAATTGCAGCAATTAGCTCTGCAAACATCCTGATAGGATGAAGGTTTAATTTATCTTCCATCCACCGGATATTTTCGGACCGATCAAACCTACTTGTGACGGTTATTTTGTGAAGAGCTCCTTCACTCCAGCCAATACATCGTAAATTCATGTTACAAAACCACTCTCAATGTACAGGTGGTCCTCAATTTACGACGTATTGGAGCCCAACGTTTGCGTCGCTAAGCAAGATGGTCGTTCAGTGAGTTTCGGCCCCGTGAGGTTGCCTTTCTTGCCGCAGTTTCCTGGGGCAAGATTTCAGATGTCTGTTGCTGATCGCGGCAGTCTTTTAAGCGAGCCTTGCCTCAGTTTACGACCATCCTTGCTGCAGTCATTAAGTTAATGACACGGTTGTTAAATGAATTCAGCTTCCCCCTGTTGACCTGGCTCGTCGGAAGGTCGCAAAAGCAGATCACATTATCCCCCAGGACGCTGTAACCATCATAACTGTGAGTCAAGTTGCCAAGCGTCCGAATTTTGATCAGGTGACCATGGGGACACTGCGACAGTCGTAAGTGTGAAAAACGCTCCTAAGTCGCTTTTCCTGGTGCTGTTGTAACTCGGCATGGTCACTAAATGAATAGTCATAAGTCGAGGACCACCCGATATCACATTTGGGGGAATTGGATTTGCTACGCATTTCCGTTGAAGGCCTCCTCGAAATCCAGTTGTTTTTAAAAGCTCTTTTTATCCAGCTCTACAAAAAGCAGCGTTGGCAGTGTGACCGGATGAGATGCTCGAAGTCCCTTTCTTTATACAAATGGTCCTCGATTTACTACAGTTCATTTAGCGACCATTCAAAGTTACAACATCCTTGGGGGAAAAAAGCAACTGTCATACTTACGCCCATCGCTGCAGCCCCCAGGATCATGCTATCAAAACTCAGGCGCTGTTCTGACCCAAACCTGGTTCCAAGGAAGCAAACACGAGACAGAGGTAACAGCACAACCTTTTAATGGTTCCTTATCCTTCCCAGTTAAAAGGCTGTTTCAAACCAATTAGCTCCGATAAGAAAGAGCCTTGCCAAGGTTGGGCAAGGCTGCCAAGAACACCAGATAAAGTTACTAAGCAATAATTCATACACAAAGAGCCTCCAAACACAAAATAAGATAGTACAAATGTCCACGAGGCTGAGTGCAAAAACTTCTTTGCTTCCTGCAAAGAACTCCGGTTTCTCAGCTGGCTTTTGTCTCTTAAGAGAGGGGCCATTGACCTTGCAGCCTTCCTCCCGAGTCTCCTCTGCTGCTGCAGCTGCTCTTTCCTTTGAGCAGCCCTGCACACATGCAGGGTTGGCACAGGCTCCTCGGGGTGCTCTTCATCATTGCTGCCAGCCTCCACACTCTCCAAAGGCAGAACTTCATTCCCTGATGGTCGTGGCCCCATCCCTGCATCACAAGTAGGCCCCTCATCTGAGTCCTCGCTCTCCGAGACCTCAGCCGTCCGCACCTCCTGCCGGCGAACCACAATAGACGCTTGACAAACCAACTCCTATTTATGATGGTCGCAGTGTCCCATAAGTCATGCGATTTCCCCCTTCTGTGACCTCCTAACCAGTGAAGTCAATCGGGAAGGGGCTGGATTCACTTAACGCCCACCTTACTAACTCAACACAACCGCAGTGATTCCTTTGACAGGCACGGCAAGAAAAATTGTAAAACGGGGCAGAATTTCCTTGAACCGATGTTTGGCTCGGCGACAGGCATTTCGGGCCGCATTGCGGTCGTAAGATGAGGACCGCTTGCAAATTGCTTGAAAAAAATCCAGTTGTCGGGATTCCAGCAGTTGCCCCCATTTAAATCATGAGTCTCTAGCCGAACTTCCAAAACTTAAAAAATATTTATTAGGAGTAAACATGCCGGCACTGCCTGGGTGTAGCTGACTCTGAGACAGGTCATTCATTGATCCTGGTTTTCCCCCCACCCCCTGGGTGTATCGTAATGCATATCCTCCAATGGGACATCTCCATAGCCCAGAGTCCTCAATCAAGCTCTCCAGCTAGAAATTTTTGCGCAGCAGAAACTTCAGTCACCTAGTTGCCATCTTTGAAAACATTAATGGAATGCAGTTTCAGTTTGCAAGCTGCCGCACTGCTCCCCCCACCCTTTCCGTTGGCATCTCTTAAAAAGACCATAGAAATATTTTATGAGTCGATACTGAGTTTTTTTGCCGCCACGCTCTTTCTACGGCCTCCATAACGCACTGCTGGTTATGTATATCGTGCGCCAAGAGACACATTGACGTCGTTTTCCTTTGAATTGTCTTCGGACCGGGACCGATGCTTCGGTAACGGGTCCCTTGGAAACGCTCTCCTGCCTCCAGAGCAGAGAGCCATACCCCGAGAGGAATTCTCCTGGCTAAAATAGCCTTTCAGATTTATTTGTTGTTTTTAATCCCCCGGTTTGATACGAGCAGCTTCCTCTTTCTCAAACGCGGAACGATAACATGAGCGCTTGAAGCAGAAGGATTTATCCAGCATATATTTCTCCCCCTGCTCAAAAAGACTGTGCTTTAACAGATGAACAAGAGTTGGAAGGGACCTTGTAGGTCATCCAGTCCAACCCCCTGCCCCAAGCAGGAGACCCTACCCCATTTCTGACCAATGGCAGTCCGGTCTCTTCTTGAAAGTCTCAAGCGCTGAAGCTCCCACAACTTCTGTTCCACAGGTTGATGGTTCTCCCTGTCAGAAAATCCCTCCTTGTTTCCAGGTTGAATCTCTCCTTGGTCACTTTTCATCCCTTCTTCCTTGTCTGGCCTTCGGGTGCTTTGGAGAACACCTCCAAACCAACAGCCAGAGGGCTGTTCAAGCAATAATGAATGCAAACCTATCAAGGGGAGAATTAATTTCAATCAGAATGGAGCTGGAAAGGACCTTGGAGGTCTTCTAGTCTAACCCTCGGCTGATGCAGGAGCCCCTACCCCATTTCTGACACAGGGCAGTCCAGTCTCTTCTTGAAAGCCTCCAGCGATGAAACTCCCACAACTTCTGAAGGCAACTCCTGTTCCATGGGTTCCATCAGAAAATTCCTCCTTATTTCCAAGTTGAATCTCTTCTTGATCAGTTTCCATCTATTATTCCTTGTCTGGCCTTTGGGTACTTTGGAAAATAGCTTGACCCCCTTCCTCCTCTCTGGAAGGCTGCTCTCCTGTCTCCCCTGGTCCTTCTCTTCCCTAGACTAGCCAGGCCCAGTTCCTGCAACCGTTCATCGTATGTTTTAGTCCCCTAATTCTCTTTGTTGCTCTTCTCTGCACTTTTTCCAGAGTCTCAACATCTTTTTAATAATGTGGTGAACAAACCTGGATGCAGGACTCTAGGTGTGGTCTTACTAAGGCTTTATAGAGTGGTATTAGGACCTCCCTTGATCTCGATTGTATCCCTCTGTTAATGCAGTTTAGGATTGCAACTTAGGATTGGCTATTTTGGCTGCCGCTGCACACGGCTGACTCATTTTTAGCTGGTTGTCCACTAAGACTCCCAAGATCCCTCTTGCAGTTGCTGCTATTGAGCCTGGTTTCACCCAGCCTCCAGTGATGAAGCTCCCACAACTTCCAAAGCCAACTTCTGTTCCATGGATTGCTTGTTCTCACTGTCGGAGAATTCCTCCTTATTTCTAGGTTGAATCTCTCCTCGTTCAGTTTCCATCCATTATTCCTCGTCTGACCTTCGGGTGCCTTGGAAAATAGCTTGACCCCCTTCCTCCTCTCTGGGGTAGCCCCTCAAATATTGGAAGACCACTATCCTGCCTCCCCTGGTCCTTCTCTTCCCTCGACTAGCCAGGCCCAGTTTCTGCAACCGTTCATCGTATGTTTTAGCCTCCAGTCCCCTCATCATCCTGGTTGCTCTTCTCTGCACTCTTTCTAGAGTCTCAACACCTTTTTTATAGTGTGGGTGACCAAAACTGGATGCAATACTCTAGGTGTGGTCTTCCTAAGGCTTTATAGAGTGGTATTAGTACCTCCCTTGAGTGAGATACTATGCACAGTGAAGTCAGTAAATAGAGACTGGAAACTTTAACCGTGTTTCTGATTTCGAGATGTGGAATATTAAAAATATCCTTCCTGTGTAGCTTCTCCC